CTGCGCTGCAGTTGTGCAGAAAGAGACCTGCTTGAATCCTGCTTGTACGCACTACATCACTAAAATGATGTAATCACGGAATTTCGCCGTGACAGCAACCCATCCGAGCTGCACACTCTGGTTTTCATGTACTCTTGATATAACCCTCTGACTCGGGTTATATCCTCTACCTGATAATCAGCAGAACATGTTCCTGTGCTCTATGATGTAGGAGATCTCCAAAATGAATAGGTTCGATGTTCTGGAAATGCGTAGGGTACCTGCCATAAGTAGGATATGACGCTCGTAGTCGCTAGTCGGGTTATACCGTAAAAGCCCCTATGTATACGCCCACCCTCCGTGGACACGCCCAGTCAGGGGAAGTCAACACTTTTATTTCAAAATATCGCCCACGCCCATGTATCCGCCCAGGTATGCCGGAAACACCAGTACATGTACAGGTACTGATACCCAATACTTACTGCTATCCCTATTCCAAGTATACGCCCGGTTCCGAAATAATGCCCGTGCCCTTGTATACGCCCAAGAAATCAAGGCTGTTATTCTATACGCCCGGGGCCTATACACGGGCTTTTACGGTATATCCCTCCTGCTATCGCAGTCGGGATTTATATTCAGCCGGTATAACCCTCTGACCAGGGCTCTATCCTCTACAAATATTATTATTATTCTTTTATTCCACGATGGCGTGACGCCAATAAGGATGATTAATAAGTGCGATAGAACTGGTACTAGCCAGAAACAGCTAGATGGAAATTAACCGGGAGGCAAGAAGCAATGGATCTTGAAAAACAAGCGGGGGCAATAACGTTAGCAGGGGTGATCGAGATAGTTAAGTACACGTTCGAGATATCAGAAACCAGGGGGATGCGCGGAGCAGGAGCAGGTACTGCTCAAAAGAAGACTGGATGCATTGCTTCGGAAAGAATTTCTACGAGGTTGGGTTGTGATGTCGATAGGGAGTGAGTTGTAGAGGGTGAGGGCACTGTTGATGGGGGAATCTCGGTGCCTGTTCGTGTGTGCGTGTCCGATGGAGTAGGTCCTTGTCTGTCGAAGGGTGTATGGTTGGTGTTGACGTTGTGGTGCAAGATGTGGTTGCTGCAGGTGTGGTGGGGAGGTTTGGTGGTGGATGTCCCATGCTAGTAGGGCTTGTTTAACAAGGAGTCGTGAGCTAAGGGTGGGGAGCTTTGCGTGATGGAGGAGGGAGCTGTGGTGAACTGGTGCAAAGAGGGGAATCCGAAGGCAGATGCGTATAGCACGGCGTTGAATTCTCTCCAGTGTGTCCCGCTGTTGCTGTGTGGTGTTGGAGAGGGCAAGGCTGCCATATTCGAGAACGGGTCGGATGTAGGTTGTGTATATTAACAACAGGCTGGAAGCGTTCATTGTGCCACGTGTCTTGTGGAGTTGGTGTAGTAGTTTTTTGGCTTTGTTGGTGGTTTCTATGATGTGTTGGGCCCATCGCAAATCGTCTTGGAGTGTAACACCAAGGTGCCTATGTTGGTGGACCTGCTGCAGCCGAGTCGAGTGGAGCGTGATGTGGATGGTATGTTGGGGTTGGAAGGAAAGGACGACGGTTTTCTTGGTGTTGACGAGGAGATGCCAATCCTTCAACCATCGTCCTGCTGCGTCCACGGCACGTTGGAGGAATGCAGCTGACAAATCCCTCGTGTAATGCGTCGCGATGAGTGCCGTGTCATCGGCGAGCTGGCTGCATTTAGTGTGAGAGTTTGTACATGCTGGGGGGAGGTCGATCGTGTACACCAGGAAAAGAAGAGGCCCCAGAACAGAGCCCTGGGGCACTCCAGCTGGAATGGATTTCCATGATGACAAAGCGGAGCCAACCTTGACGCGTTGTCGGCGGCGAGTCAGGTAGCTTGTGAGCCAGGTAAGGGCAATGCCACGGACACCAAGGTGCTCGAGTTTGGCCAGGAGGCCAGCATGCCAGACTCGGTCAAAAGCCTTTGATAAGTCAAAGAAGCATGCTGACACTGCCTGACCGGAATCTCGGCTGGCGGAAATCTCATGCACTAGGCGGGAGAGCTGTAGTTCAGTACTATCCTTAGATCGAAATCCAGATTGGTCGGCCGGTAGGTGGGGCTCAATGTGGGTGTAGAGGCGTTGGTGAACAATCCTCTCCTGAACCTTGCTGACAACGCTTAGGAGCGAGATTGGCCTATAATTGGTGACCTCTGCACGAGAGGCTTTCTTGTGTAGAGGACTGATAGTGGCGTCGCGCCAGTCCTGTGGCAGCTCGCCTCGCGAGAAGGACTCGTTGAAAAGTGTTGCGAGGGAGCACGATATTTCGTCTGCAGTGATCTTGAGCAATTTCGTCGGGATGCCATCGTACCCAGCCGACTTCCGGAAATCAAGAGCGGAAAGGAGTTTTCTGACCTCCTCCTGGGTGGTGATGATTTCCTTCAGTTCGCTTCCGATGATGCGCGACACGCCAATCTCTGGCACGGCTTCAGTTGGTCCGGAGACGGACTTCTGGCTTTCCGAAATGAAAAAATTGTTAAACGCTTCCGCCTTTTCTCCATCTGATCTAGCCACTGTTTCGTTCGCTGTAATAGGTGGAAGCTCCTTCTTCGGGGACGACCGCAGTGATTTCATTAACTTGTACAGGTTTCGCTGCGGGACACCAGTTACGTCGCCTTGCGCGGTAGTGGATACGAAGGCGGATTTAGCTTCTCTCAGTAGTGTTGTGGTCCTATTGCGTTGAGGAACGAATGTGAGCCAGTTCTCGGCGCTGCGAGTTCTGAGATACTGACGGTAGAGCTGATGCTTGAGTTTAATGCTGCAAAGAAGCGGTTGAGTCATCCATGGTCGCCGACCTGGGCATGTCTGGTGTGTACGGCGTGGTGCGAAGTTAGTTAAAATAGAAGGGATGCTAGAGAAGGACATACATGTGAAAAGAACACTAGTGCATTCTAGGAGCTCTAGCTATGGATACAAATAGACAAAAAAGGATGGACGCCAAACAAGCCATGACCAGAAATGGATAGATCTTTGAACTTCTGATCTGCACTATGCAGGACATAAGTACGGGTTCCGCTAGCTAAGTTACTTTTCAAGTGTTCAATTGTGCGTGGATATGGAAGAGGTCGATTCAAATGTTTTGGTGTTAGGGTATGGGCCATAATGGGATGCTATGGGTATGAGTATACAACCCCAGGCCGACTACTCTTGCCATATGCGTGCACATGCACCAGTGCAGTATTATTATTATTGTTATTCCACAATCACGATGACACAGTGCCAATAGACATGTGATGCGGTGATGCGGGCGGTTTTAACCTGCCGTGGTGGGGAAATCTGAGAAAAAGAAAAGGAGTACTAACTACCGTCGTCAATCCAAATTAGATAGGCGCGTGCAGAATGGAACAAAAAGCAGCATAGGTGTCACGGGATTTTACCTCCTGCGAAAGCCAATGAGAATGAGAATAGGACTTGAATGGAGGGGATTTTAAAAGGATCGATAATCTGGCAAGTGGGAACTGGAGAGGACATCTACTAGTAGTAGGCGAGCTATTATATATTCAGCTTAAATGCGCAAGTGCATTAAGTTTAAGCTTAACCCTCATTCCATATTGACTTTTTTCCTACGTTCCCAGCATATCGGGGTCCTTTTGTACCCCAGTCACATATGGCTGCGGCCAACTACCCTTCACTTTGAGTAGTGTCTCTATTGCTGTCTATGTCTGTGTTTGTGCCAGTATAATTATGTGGAGCGAGAATACATGAAGTTTCAGGGAGATGTGATTCAGCAAAGTAAAACTATATCAAAAATCATCCACCTGGAGTCCGTTTGGACCCCACGACCCGGAATGAGGGTTAATACGGTGAATGAAGTTGCATGCCGAGTGGGGAAAGCGTTCTGAAACAGGGGAAGAGGAAGCCAAAATGTATAGTGTCTGAGAGGAGGTTAGAGGGGTCATACGAAATATTCATCGAAGCAACTTACGGTGCGTGACTTCTAACCGACGCATTAGGACTCGGTCACACCAGACCTGGCGGAAACGCGTACAGCTGAATAAGAGCAGAGGATAGACCGGAGGAACAAACGAGTACCAGGCAGATCTGCAGAGTATCCGGTATCAAACAACCTTACTCGGAGGAAAGTAGTCCGTTTCGGTTACCCAGAGTGACAATGTCTCTCGTTGGGTTGCTTGAAGCAGGCGCCGCAAATGGTATTTCCTTGCGTAGCAAGCCCCTTTTGGCCTCCTTCCAGGAAACCCCACGGCCACTTGGTCCGGGATGGCTTCCAAATTGTAGCCGAAAAGGCCGAGCTGATTAGGATAAGCAAGCCCAAATTCGGGTAGTCTAGCGCGTACGCACAATGATGATCAAAGGATGTAGGAACGAGCAATACATTCGCACAAGGGATCCGGGTATTCTTATACTAGAGAGGTTAAGTTACACGTTTTTTGCCCTTTTTCAAAACGCGGTGCAAATCTCACGTTACGTGTAATTTTTAGAGGTTAAGTTACACGTGCGACGTGACGTGAAATTTTGCCTGGCAGTATCAGGGACCCAGGGTAGCGTGGCTCGGGTTTAGTTCGCACAAATATCAAATCTTCCAACAAACTTGATAAATCTCGATAAAATTCCGGAAACTCACACAAATTCGGTCGGGATAACCAAGCGAAACTTCCAAAAACTCACGTCATGAACTTACGTGCGGGACAGTCAACTCACGTAAAACACGTCAAATTTTACGTGAGTTTTTTCACTTTTCGACGTAAAAGTTCACGGACGTAAGACTTTTACGTGAAACTTAACCTCTCTACTGCTGCATAATTTGCACCACGAGTACATGGGTCATGTACCGTACTTTTCTTTGCACTAAGCGCTCACGTTGGACCTTTTAAATAGACAATTTCTCGCTTCAGTTCTCCTCTATTCATTTGAGTAACCTCCAAGAGGGAGCTAGAAACTTTGACCCCGAGATTGCATCTGCAGACTTTCGAACAAGGGCTCGTGTACGTGTGCAAGCTAGAAACATGGAGGTCGTGCTACTTCTTTCACTCTGTGAGTATGCTGACAACTTTGTGCCTAGACTAACTGTCGTTAGATTTTTTGTAATTGTCGCCAGTCTTGAATCATGGCTAGGGCGCTGTGTTCTACCCTAATACAACTTGTGAATGCTGGAAAGGAAGTCTTGTAATTCCATTGTAGCTTAGAGTTTTAACGATGTGGGATACAAAAAAAAGGTCTTCAAAGCGGTTCAGAAGAATTCGGGGTCAAAACGGCACAGCTGCCTGTAAATCAAGTACCGGTAGAAACTGTAGCACCGTGGACGAAACCATTAGGCAATTCAATAATGGAAGAATATCTTATTCAAATGCAGGATAGACGAAAACCATATCCTATTTTATTCAGTATCGCTTTCTATGAGGAGCTTTTGGGAAGCGAAACAACTGTCAGAAGGAATATCAGAAACAAGTAAACATGATCCCTTCGTTTATCTCAGATACTGAGCCAATAGATATAATTAAAATGCACTTTCTGACTGTTTATTATCTTGTTACAGTCGTGGATAGTTGCTTCATAACTCGTTTCCATGTGACTTCTTCTAGTTAAATCCGGTCGTTGTTTTTCAGTTTTGGTATGTGTAATTGCTACCAAGGATAGCAACCTTTTGGCCGAGAGCGCATGGAGTAGAGCAGGAGGGAACTTTGCATTATATCCCTAACAAAATAAGAAAAAATAATAATAATGATAATAATCTGATAATCACAAACATTAGATTTTCTTATAAGTGATGATAGTATGGGAATGCGAAATCGCTGACAATTGTACTGAAGTATTACTGCCCTTGCTTTTAGTAGGATGAAGTGGGACGTATGTATCAATATTAATTCCACATATTTGGTTTTGTAGGGCAGATCCATTACAACTGTACACATCTAGATTCCAGCTCTGCATAAAAGGTCGTAAACTTTATGAGATCATGCTGATAAAAGTACTAGAATGGGTTCTACCTGCCAAGTATGGGGAGGGGGCGACTTGCCCCGTAAAAGGATGGCCATCTTTGATGCACATTTCCTATTTCAGCCACTTTAGAGCAGTTTTGTGCTTACAAGTAGCCGCAAGTCTTAGCACCCAATAGACCTTATGCCAGTTGTACATATCCACGAAATCCCATAGAATCCTGTAGACCCGGTTGGTTGTTCATTGTGTGCTAGGCATGCGCATTCGACCAATTTTAGACTCATAATTTAATGGCAAGCAACCGCTTTTCCAATTTCTTCACATTGGGTAGAGCTAATGACTAGGTAGATCTTTGTCAGAAAAAAAGGTTTTCATATGAAATGCCTTCAGGCCCCATTTCTTAGTGGAAATCGTGGAAAACACAATAGGGTCCATGTCTACGGGATTCTTCAGGATTTCTTGGATCTGTACAGCTGGCATAAGGCTTATCCAATCCTTGTTTCTCTAAACATCGCCACCCTCTAAGGGATGCTGCCTTTTGTGCTACCTACATTTGTGGGTAAATCATGAAGTTCGGGTTACTGAAAATCAAGGTGGGATGCAAATTTACTGGTGTTAGTAGTGAAAAGGAAACCTTACAGGGTTGGTCACATTTTCCCCAGATGTAATGCAATGGACAGGGATGCTAATTCCTTTTGGCGCTATCCATTTTTACATTATACTTCCTGCGCTGAAATGTCATCATTTCTTGTTAACAAAATTCATCTATCGGCAGGAATAAAAGGGAGATAATTGTGCTGATGTATATCATTGACAATGCTGTAAGGTGACAGCTCTGTAGGTAATGCCCTTTTTCTGTCCATCCTATCTACATGTATTCTGCTTTATACTCTGATGTGTTGAATATTCCTTCAAGCTGCAACGACTTTATCTTACTGTTTGTTAGTTGACAGGTTGAGAAAGAGTAAAGCCGCTTTGTGGTTTGAATTTTCAAGATCGGAAGATATGTTGCTTTTCACATTTTTATATTATTCTGTCATTTGTGACTATATTCCAATCCTGCTGTGTAAAGGTATTACAGCTGTATGGGCTTCCGGCAGCTTCTCAAAAGGATGGAATACTGGTGCCACTACAAGACAATGGAGTTACAATCTTGATTCGCCTATGGGTAAGCCATCCCTTCCATCGTGGGCATTAGCGAAATTTCCTTTCTAAAGCACAATGCAAGAGTTTGGCTGGTGGTGTTGCTATGCATAAACGCACTGTTACCCCACCACCAACATGGATAACTGAATTAATAACGCAGTGTATTATTGACCACTTACATCGAGCACTTAAGCAAGTAATTAACAGCTTGTATAGCCACTTACATTCACATTCAGAGCTAATAAACTCTTCCTCAGCTTAGACAAAAAATCATGAGCAAAAGCAGTAAAATAAATACAGAGACGAGAGAGCTTGGAAGCTCAGGGCCCTACACTATGCTTTTTTTGCGTTGATGACCTATATATAAAAAAGCATACGGATGTTGTAAATGCTTATAAATTTCTCCTTTTTTTTAAGACATAACCAGGGATTCGAACCCGCACTATCGCGCGCCCTGCATGCATCCCCCAATACACTTTGCATAAATATTAATTCTTCCAAGTTGCTTCACGTTATGATCTTGCATTTGAAAGCCCTATTTGAATATGCATTGTGGCCAGCCGTCTTTGATGGTACGGTACGGTACGGGATAGGTACGGGACAGGTACGGTCGAGGGTAATACGACACCGTCTACCGCCTTGATGACCTAGGCAAAAAAAGCATAGGGATGTTATAAATTTTTCAATTCTCCTATTGTTTTTCAGGCATATCGTGGGATTCGAACCCGCACTATCGCCCTACATGTCGTGATTACATCACGAAGTTGTACATAATATCACGTGTATGTTTGTGTGACGTTATCGTCCACGTAGCATTAGCCCTTTTGTTTGTTTTGATGGCTTTATGGTTTTACCCAGCTTCTTGATGATTAGAGATTAGAGTAAGTCATGTAGTACTGAATGAGAATTAATCCCAGTCCTTATGAAGTTAGTTATGTTGTGTTGGATGTGACCGTTACCCATGATGGAGAAGTAGAAATCCGTGCCGATAAGGAGGTCAATTTCTACCTCCTTACGCTTGGTGACAATGGTGTCAGCTAGTTGGATGTTCTTGACTTCAGGGCACTGGTCGATGTCGATTGGGGATTTGACAACAGGACAACAAATCCACGGCATAACATTGGCGGTTACGGGCAAGGCTGATCCATCTCGACATAGGAGGGAAAACTCCACTCTCGGCAGGGTGACCGTTCGCCGGGACGCAGATCCAAAACTAGCGATGGACAACACGTCTTCACCGACAACAGCTGCGTTGACAGAGGCAGCTAACGATTCATGAATAAATGTGCGAGTTGAGCCGGTGTCAAACAACAGTCGGCAGTCTGAGATGTTGCCTTGCCCGGCGACAGTTGCGATGGCGGTTGGGAGATTCACACCTTTGGACTGGACGTGCACCGTAGCGGTAGTATGTTTCTGTGGCCCTTGCTGCTGCTGAGTAGGATAGAAGGTACTTGCGGCAGCTGACACTGGTGATGAGCCAAATTTCTGAGGGCACAGGGCACGGTGATGGGTCAACAGATTGCAGTGATAGCAGGGTCTTCTAGCAGTACAGTCCTTTGCCCAATGTCCCTTCCGTAAGCATACAAAGCAGTGGTCTTGTAGCTGCTGCTGTCTGGTAGAAACCGTGTTGAACGTTGGGCAGGTGTCCGAGAAGTGTTGCAACTTGCAGAAGAAGCATCTCGGAGTGGCGCGCCGCACAGAGCTAACTAACGTGGCTGCCGTGGCCGGAGGTTGGGAGTAGGCAGCATGAGGCTGTGCGGAAACAGGCGGTGGTCGTGGCAGAGTGCTCTCTGGTTTGCTGGCTGTGTCTCCTGCCAGTCGCTCGGCCGATTCACGGACCTCCAGGTAGATTCCCAGCTGTTTCCGCAGCTCATCAACAGTCCAACTCTGATTGTGGGGTTTCTGTGTCTCAAGTTGTACGATGACGCACTTTGGTAACTTGGAAGTGATGACAGGAATCAGCAGTTCCTGTTGCACACTTTGACCTTCCGCTTGCAAACAGCGCAAATTAGCCTCCACCTCGTTGTAAAATCTCCGCAACATGTGAGGTTTATTTGATGGCGCTGGCATTTCGGTAATTGCGCGGTATCGGGCTGCGATGATGGCATCCTTCTTGCCAAAGCGATCCTTCAATAATCCTAACGCCACGGGGTAATTTGAATCGGTGGTGGGAATACCGGCAATAACATCCAGGGCCATGCCTGTCAAATGACTTCTCAAATACGACAGTTTCTGTACGGCAGACAGGCTTTGATTTGTACCGATCGCAGATTGAAACATGTCAATGAACTCAGTGAAATGAAGTATGTCACCATCAAACTTCCTGATTGTGAGCACGGGCAATTTTACAGATCCATGAGCACTCTGTGCAGGCTGTGCCGAGTTGGCCGCCAGCTGGCCAACCGTGCTGGTGTGCTTCCCAATGGCTGACAGCAACTGCTGTGTTTGTTGCTGAGTTGCGGTGTGCATTGTCAGCAGCTGCTGGACGTCAATTCCAGGTGCTTGACTGCTGGTACTGGTGTTGGCTGTGGCCCTTTTGGCTTGAGCACTCAGCAGGGACAGATTTTTGAAGTACGACGGTAACGTACTGGCCATACTTTCATACTCTTCTTCATCTTCTTTCTTTTTCTTTTTTTGAGTTGCTCCACTAGCCACGAAATCGTATAACGCAGCGCCGTACTTATCTAGGTCAGCATCCAACTTCGTGAGGGCATCTCTATGCTGTTCACAAAACTGGGTCCGAATCCCGACCCACTGGTCTGCGTCGTCAGATGGACAACTTTCTGAAACTAAACGTTGGCACTTCGTGTCGTCATCGTGGACAGTAGAATACAATGCACTGATTTTATTTGCTAAAACTCGGAGACTCCCTGGATACTCGGACATGGTTTCGGCACCAATTTATGTTGTGACTAGAGTCTAGACTCTCTTAGTTCCACAACATAACTAACTTCATAAGGACTGGGATTAATTCTCATTCAGTACTAAAAAGAGATGCCGTCAACAGACCACATGCGGCACTCATTTGTCTGCTGCTGAAATCGACAACGCCAAACATCTGTGGATTCAACATGTTCAAGCAACACACTATACACCGGAGATTGAGGCTATCAAAAGCAACGCCAAGAACAAGCTGGTCCAAAACCTTGCGCTCTTTCTAGATGAACATAACCTCATCCGCTGCAAGGGTCGATTGGAGAATTCATCCCTACCATACTCAGCGAAGTATCCCATCCTTCTACCTCGTTCACATCCAGTAACCACAGCTATCATCAATGACTGTCACCGCATGGTGCTGCACAGTGGAACTAACCATACCCTATCGCGAGTCAGGTATGACTATTGGGTCCCCAGAGGACGACAAACCGTCAAGACTGTACTCAAGAAATGTGGTGTATGCAAGAGGTTCAATGGTCGGCCGTACTCGCTACCGAAAATGGCACCCTACCCTCCAGAGCGCGTAGCTGAGTCTAAACCGTTCACACACGTTGGCGTCGACTACTTTGGCCCAATGACAGTCAGAGAACATGGACTCATCCACAAGGTATGGGTGTGCCTATTTACGTGCATGGTCACACGTGCCATCCACCTCGAGCTTGTTGCTGACATGACCACAGAACAGTTCCTGATGGCATTGCGCAGATTTGTGGCAAGAAGAGGAGTACCGCGCAAGATCTTCTCTGACAACGCTCAGCAATTCCTGCTTTCGAAATCGACTCTACAGCTTGCTTGGGAAGCCATTGTGAAGGATGACCACACTCTTAATTATGCTGCTTCCCATGGAATCGAATGGATTTGCATTGTGCAACTCTCCCCATGGATGGGCGGGTTCTATGAACGGTTGATTGGAATCGTGAAGAAAGCCCTCCGTAAGTCTATTGGCAGACTAGTTCTCGGAACAACGGAGCTGTCAACCATTCTCGTCGAAGTTGAAGCAGTAGTAAATTCACGACCGCTGGTGTACGTAAGCGATGAGATCTATACGGTCTTGACACCTGCCCACTTCTTATCATTATCAGCCGAAATCAGTCTACCCCAAGGGCATGTAGAAGAGGACCCTGATTTCGCCCCAACAATGTCGTCAGCGGAACTGCTACTTTCTACGTGGAAGAAAGGTCAGAAGCGATTGAATGAGTTTTGGAACTGTTGGAGATCTGAATACCTAACCAGTCTACGAGAACGGCAACAATCGCAGTTGAAACAGGTTGCTCATTCTACCGTGAAGCCAAGGATTGGACATGTGTGCCTCATCAAGGATGACGCGCCCAGAGGTATGTGGAAACTGGGTATCATCAGCGAACTTCACGCTAGTCGTGATGGAGAAACGCGTTCCGCCACTGTGAGGACGCCCAATAACAAGCTCCTACGGCGCTCACTACAGCACCTATATCCGTTGGAGTGTGAGTCTGCTCGACCTGCTGACCACTCGTCGAATGAACCACAGCCTCCCGCTGTAACCAACGACGCACACGTCCCTGCAACAGCTTCTCGACCGGTAAGACGAGCTGCTATCGAAGGCTTAGGACGTGTCCTGGATTTGCACGAGGCAGACTTGGTTTAGTTCACCATGCTGGTGTCTGTCTCAATCAGCTATCATCCACTCAAGCTGTATAATTATGTTCACCCCCCTTTTTATTCGAGTTTTCTTTTCCTCTGCCAACTTGCTCTCCCACTCACTACTTTGGCACTAGGGTGTAGTATGGGCTCCATGACTTATGTGTCCTTGCTCTTCAGTACCTTCGCAATTTGGTTCACAAGATATGTCACATCATTAGCGTAGCCTGTCAGGAGACATGCGTCTGTGGGGACTGCCCTAGTTAACATTAACAATACCCAAATAATAATAATCACCTAAATACGCGGTTCTTATGCGCTATTATAATCTTTCTCCCTTTGGTCACCAGGTCTTTTGTGATTGATCGCTCCACCTGTGTGTGGGAATGTCGTGATTACATCACGAAGTTGTACATAATATCACGTGTATGTTTGTGTGACGTTATCGTCCACGTAGCATTAGCCCTT